GGCGTTTCAATCCAAACGAGCGCGTCGTTCCGCGCAGTTGCTCTGGCGCCGCGAGTCCCATGACACATCGCATTGCTTTTTGAAAAGCGGCCCTGGGCTACCGCTGAGCTCCCAGATTCAGTGCTCGGCTACCACGGCGAGCGCCTCCAGTCGTTGGGTACCATACGATTTGGAAACGCGCCTCCCCCCCCCCTCCTGCCCCGCATTCATGGGACTTGGTCGCGTCGAGAGCACGGCGCGTCTGCGTCTGCCAGGCTGGAGATTCTTCGCAGCGGCGAGGCCGACCTGATGCCGCTCGGGCAGTGCCTGAGGCGCTACATTCTCTCGTATGCCCAGGCCTCAGACGATCTCTGACCTCGATCATCCCTGGCCCAGTTCCAAAGGTTCTTCCACGCGAGCAATCCGGCGTGAGAGCGCAGGTTCCACATGTTTCGTGAGGTTCTGGTTGTTCCCCACATGTTTCGTGGGGTTCTGGCTTTCTTCTCTGCCGCGTCGCACCCGCGTCTCCTCACACACACACACACACACACCCTCACCTCCCCCCCCCCCACACACACACACAGCACAGCACAGCTGAGCACAGCTCAGCACAGCTCAGCTCAGCACAGCACAGCTCAGCACGGCACAGCACAGCTCACCGCAGCACAGCACAGCAAAGCACAGCAGAGCACACCACGGCACAGCACAGCACACAGCACAGCACAGCTCAGCTCAGCTCAGCTCAGCACAGCACAGCCAGGGTCGGAGAGCGCGGCATGCGCGACACTTTCTCGACACCATAGAGGCTGCGCAGGGGGTGGTCCCTCAGCGCGGTCCCTATGCGCGCCAGGGTCGGAGAGCGTGGCAGAGGTGGCACTTTCTCGACACCAGAGAGGGTGCACAGGGTGGCCCCTCAGCGCGGTCTCTATGCGCGCCAGGGTCGGAGAGCGCGGCAGGGGTGGCACGTTCAGGACACCAGAGAGGGTGCACAGGGGGTGGTCCCTCAGCGCGGTCTCTATGCGCGCCAGGGTCGGAGAGCGCGGCAGGTGTGGCACTTTCTCGACACGAGAGAGGGTGCGCAGGGGGTGGCCCCTCAGCGCGGTCTCTATGCGTGCCAGTGTCGGATAGCGCGGCAGGGTGGCACTCTCTCGACACCAGAGAGGGTGCGCAAGGGGTGGTCCCTCAGCGCGGTCTCGATGCGTGACACGCTCGCAGATCGTGGCAGGAGTGGCACTTTCTCGACACCACAGGGGGTGCGCAGAGGGTGGTCCCTCAGCGCGGCCTTTATCCGTGACACGCTCGCAGATCGTGGCAAGAGTGGCACTTTCTCGACACCACAGGGGGTGCGCAGAAGGTGGTCCCTCAGCGCGGCCTCTATCCGTGACACGCTCGCAGATCGCGGCAGGAGCGGCACTTTCTCGACACCACAAGGGGTGCGCAAAGGGTGGTTGGTCCCTCAGCGCGGCCTCTATCCGTGACATGCTCGCAGATCGCGGCAGGAGTGGCACTTTCTCGACACCACAGGGGGTGCGCAGAGGGTGGCCCCTCAGTGCGGCCGCTATACACGACGGCCGTCCAGGGCATAGCAGGCGTGGCACTTTCGCGACGTCATAGGGGCTGCGCTGGGGGTGGTCCCTCACCGCGGCCGCTATGTACGACGGTCGTCCAAGGCATAGCAGGCACGGCATATCCTCGACACCACAGAGGCTGCGCAGGGGGTGGTCCCCCACCGCGGCCGCCATGCACGACGGTCGTCCAGGGCATAGCAGGCGCGGCACTTTCTCGACACAAGAGAGGGTGCGCAGGGGGGGGCCTCAGCGCGGTCTCTATGCGTGCCAGGGTCGGATAGCGCGACAGGGGTGGCATTTTCTCGACACCAGAGAGGGTGCGCAGGGGGTGATCCCTCAGCGCGGTCTCTATGCGCGACACGCTCGCAGATAGTGGCAGGAATGGTACTTTCTCGACACCACAGGGGGTGCGCAGAGGGTGGTCCCTCAGCGCGGCCTCTATCCGTGACACGCTCGCAGATCGCAGCAAGAGTGGCACTTTCTCGGCACCACAGAGGGCGCGCAGAAGGTGGTCCCTCAGCGCGGCCTCTATCCGTGACACGCTCGCAGATCGCGGCAGGAGTGGCACTTTCTCGACACACCAAAGCGTGCGCAAAGGGCGGTTGGTCCCTCAGCGCGGCCTCTATCCGTGACACGCTCACAGATCGTGGCAAGAGTGGCACTTTCTCGACACCACAAGGAGTGCGCAGAGGGTGGTCCCTCAGTGCGGCCGCTATGCACGACGGTCGCCCAGGGCATAGCAGGCGCGGCACTTTCGCGACGTCATAGGGGGTGCGCAGGGGGTGGCCCCTCAGCGCGGCCGCTATGCACGACGGGCGTCCAGGGCATAGCAGGCGCGGCATTTTCTCGACACCGTAGAGGCTGCGCTGGGGGTGGTCCCTCACCGTGGCCGCTATGCACGACGGTCGTCCAGGGCATAGCAGGCGTGGCACTTTCTCGACACCATAGAGGGTGCGCAGAGGGTGGTCCCTCAGCGCGGCCGCTGGCTGGCTCGAATCTGTCCTCGATGGAGGATAGAAGGCTAGGAAGAGGGAGGCTCAATGGATGACACACAGGGGGACATTTGCGACGAGGGCTGAGAACGCAGAATTGCGCATGCATTATAAACTTAAGTATGGGGGGTCCTCGGTAGCGTAATTTGTTTTGGACCTCAACAAGTTCCCCCCTACATCCTGGGACACCTCCACGAGCGCCACGAAGACGACCGCGATGAACCAGAACACCGCGTCGCAGCCTTGCGCGGCGGCTTGCGTAGGCCGCTGACGCGGGCGGAGGAAAGGCCGTCCACGCGAAGCCTTACACGGCTGTCCGTGAGGCCGATCCAGCTTTAGGGCAGTTCAGATCCAGCTGTGGAGCAGTTCAACAATCGTCCACACCTTGACTTTCCAAAGGGTGCCCCGCGCGCACTCGGTTGGAGCGTTCTGGTCGCGTGATACCTGAGACAACTATTGGCAGCGTCGGTGAATGCGCCTGCCTCGAGGGCCAAAGACATGCCACAGTCCCTGTTAAGGCATCCAACGCTTCTGTATATGACTAGTTCGCGCGCGCGTGGCAGCCTCTTGAGGCCCCAAAGGAAAAACTACCCCCGCAGAGGTCTAGACATAATCTCCCTAGCGACGCTTGTTTTGTTCCAAGACAGCCATAAAACTCCCAAGAGAGCCCCAAGACGAGTTTCAAGACGACACAAGAATGCCCCATGACTTCCCAGGAGGCCCCCATTGGGGGCCGCCTCCGAGAACGCCAGCAGGCCCCCCAGAGACCCCAAAAACCCCCAAGTGGTCCTAAGTGGCAGCGAGAGACCCCAATAAACCGAAGAAGCCCCCAAGATGCCCCCAAAAGGCCCCTGAGGCTCGCAACAGGCCCCACAAATCCTCCACCGGCCACAAATTAGCCTCCAAGAGGCTCCCGAGAGGGGTCCCAAGAGAACCTGGGGGCATCCTACACGCCTCCGACCCACGACCCAGACAGAGTGGCGGGGTGCACTGACAAAACTTATGTGAGGGTGTCGCCTTGCCACCAACGTACCTTGCAACTACCCTGCCACGGCTTCTCTCCAAAGCGTGGCCTTCGCGAGAACGACCGCCACCAACCACCTTCACAGCTCCCGCAAGCACGCAGGCAAGTGCCCGCGACAGCAGAGCATGGGCTGGCGGAGTGAGCGATTAAATTCGGCGGGCCCCCTGCAAACACTCGTCGCGTTAAAATTCGAGACAGGATGGCGACACGATGAATAATGGAGGGAAATGAAAAGAATGCATGGAGGCACGCTCGGAGCGGCCTCGAGCATTCCGCCCGCCAATTTTAGTGTTTTTGTTTTTGTTCTGTGGGCACGTGAACAAATTAATGAAACGTACCTCCACCGCTAGGCCCACGCGCCTCACAGCTCGTCGGACACGTAAAAGCGCATGTGGAATGCGCACCCAACGGCTGCGAAAGCTTTGTTTCGGCGTACCCCTCACGCATTTCCTCTCCGACATGTTTCTCGGACGCGTGCAAGTACGAGCGAGCAAAGAGGTAGTACCCTGCCATTCCGGGCCACCCCCAACGCATTTCCTGGTCCATATGTTACAGGAACGCGTGAAAACGCTAGTGACCTGCGCTCCGACGTCGTCCGCACCCCACAGGACGCTAACATGGCCCCAAGAAACATAGCAACGATTGGCACCGACCCTCGTCGAGGCAGCATCCCTAGCACCCACTGTTTGCAAAATATGCGCACAAGTTTCCCTGGGGACCCACTGCGACCCCCGCTCTGCGAGCACAATAAAGACGACGCCAGCGCGAGGATCCCACACGGTGACTCTACGCAACCTACGCGATACAAACTGCGCAGCGCGACCCAGTGGCACAATATACGAGGCGAGGCGTAATGTGGCCCACGCAATCGAAGTTTGCGGGACCACGTGATCCCATAGCGATCCTCAGCAATCCATGGGCAAGCGGCCACTGCGGAAAATGCGGAGCCCCGGGCCAGCGCGGGGGGGGGGCGTAGGAGCTCGTAGGCGACCGCAGGAACCCAAGCTGCCACCAGGAACACTGCGGCCCACAGGGCCAATGAAGGGGAAACCACGGAAGCCATGAGAAGCATCAAGAGTCCAACTGATTGATCGACTGCCTGAAAGCCGCGCCCTGACGGCGCATCGGCAACATATGAAACACCAAGAAGGAACAAATGCACAACATGCACGGGAAAATAAACAAAAGCCGAAAAAAAAACATAACGGCCAGCAAGAACAGTGCGGCCTACAGTCTGACAGCCACAGGCTACCTACTTTCATGGAGTAGTAACATCCGCGGGCACGAGCACCACCCCTTCTGCGAGCGGGGACGGCAGGGATCTCTCTCTCTCTCTCTGTCACTCTCTCTATTGTTCCTCTCTCTCTCTCGATCTCTCTCCTCACATTCTTTACTGATTCACGCGGTGCCCTCGAAAATAGAGCGACTCGGAGGGACCAGCAGCATACGGATGAGAGCATGATGTGGAACACCTGCAGGGCCGGTGAAGGAGAAGCGGCGGGAAGCACACCGCCACCAGAAGAGGTGCGGCGCGTCCTCGGGACAGCGGGACAGCGGCAGGACTCGAGGCGGCCGCCAAAGAGCGGTGCGGCCCGAGGGGCCAACGAGAGGGAAGCCAAGAAGGAAGCCGCCAGAGGCCACGCGGCCACCGCCCCGGGCCAGACTCCCCGAAGCACGGGCAGAGAACCCTAAGTGCACGCACTGTTTGGGAAATGTGCTGGTCGGACGGAGGCACCGCCTGCGTGCACCACTCTCGCCCCCCCGCCATCCTCCTCCGCGAGGCCGAGGAGGCGAAGCGTGCTCTTCTCGTCCCGTGTTCTGGGCCTGCTGGGGGGAACCGCATCGCCACGGCTGGAGTCGCATCGGGAAAACTCTCGCGAAAACACACCTCGGGCCTGATCCCGGAGGGGGGGGCGAATCTTGGGAGGCGGAACGCTCCGCATCGTCGTCGCCAAAGAAGAGGTCACAGGTTGCCTTGCGTCTTCGGACCTCTCCGGCGATGTGGGCATGCTTCCGCGCAGGGGGAAGGCTTGAGCTGGCTCTCGGGGCTATTCCTCACCTCCCTCGCCCGTGTCCTCCGCCATGCCCCATGCGCATCCGCCCTCCCCACCCTCCTGCTGCTCCTCCTGCCCAATTAGCCTCCTCCTCCTTATCCTCCTCCTCCTCCTCCTCCTCCTCCTCCTCCTCCTCCTCCTCCTCTTCAACAACATCATCATCAGAATCATCATCGACATCATCCTTCTCGCCATCATCTTCACTAGCATCGTCGTTGTCATACTCACCATCATTGTCCCTCCTTTCCCATTCAATCACATCCTTCCCCACGCTGTTCTATGCATCCAAGGGCTGGGCCGAACAACCAAACATATTCCGAACACACCCACGACAACAGCCACGAAGAGTGAAGCATGCAATGAATGGAAAAGACCGAGAAACCAGCATGTATGCAACTTAAGTGTGCATGAGTGCGGGCATCAACGGCGGTAAGAGAAGTGTGGCTAACATCTCGGGAACGTGAGTGGAACGGAGATGATGACCATGATGGCGATGTTGAGCAAAGCGGGGAAAGCGAATGGGATATAGGGGGAGGAAACAGGCTGCAGGAGCAAGGGAAGATAGTTCGGTGGAGACAGTGGGGAGAAGCCAGCTCACTCCTTCCTGCCTCATCCTCCTCCACCCTCCTGCATACCCTCCTTTCTCAATATCATGATCGTCCTGGTCATTCTCCTCCCCTCATCCTCGTTTCTGATCGTTCCTCCTCCTCCTCCTCTTCCTCCTCCTCCTGTTCGTCTTCCTCCTCATCGTCATCATTCCCCTCACTCCTCCTCCTCCTCCTCCTCCGCCTCCTCCTCTTCCTCCTGCTCCTCCTCCTCCACCTCCTCCTCGTCCTCCTCCTCCGCCTCCTCCTCCTCCTCCTCCCATTGCTCGTTCTCCTACCCATCTTCCTCCTCGTCATCCTCGTCCCGCATGCGGGGGGAAGAGGGAAGGAGGGCAAGGACAACGGCGACGACGACGACGACGACGACGACGACGACGACGACGACGACGACGACGAGAGGCGTGGCCCTTCCCCTCGTGCTCCGGGTGGCGGCCGCGCGGCCACGGGAGCCCGAGGAGAACTGCATCCAGGCGCGCCGGGCGCAGGCGCAAGAGGGCCCCAGAGGGTGTCAGGGCCAGGGCCAACAGGGGCGCCTGTCACACACCAGCACCAATGCTGGCCTGGCTAGACCTGGGCCCAGGATCAGTGCAGATGCCCTCCTGGCTCGGCTGGGAGGACACGTGTATCGACCCTGGGCCCAACGTTGACACGGCCAGGATCGGAGCTGGTGTATGGTCGGCGCCCGGTGCTGTCACAGAAGGGGAGTTTGGGGATCGCTCCCTCCTCCCACCTCCTGCTCCGTATCCTCGTCCTCTCCCTGGACTGCTTCGTCCCTTGAACATGACGCTTTATGTGGTGATCAGCCCTGAAGCCGAACTTTTTTTTTTCGTTGGGCCCAAGATCGCCCATGAATGGCGGCTGGGTTCTTTGGACGCGGATTCCAGCTGCGGCGACCAGGAACGAGCGAGCAGCTGCCGTCGCAGACGTCAGCGACGAGAACGGACCTGAGCCTGAGACCAGCCAGGCCTTCTTGGGCTCAGGCGCCCAGCAGTTCTCTCCGCGCCCCATGTTGGGGAATCCCACCAACCCTTCAGGGCGTGAGTGGTTTAGAGCGCTTCCTAGTCCACGTCCAAAACCCTTCTTCCTCCTCGGGGAAAGGGTTTTCACTGTTCCCTATTAATATACACCCCCTCCACCGGGCGACCGGCAGCCAACCAGGAACCTTAAGGACCCCATGCTCTCTCACACACACACTATCCCTTTCAGAAAGCGATTCAGTATACACTTTGGGGCAAAATCTTGAGTCATGTTCGTGAGGCCCGCGAGCACGATGGTATTGTTTTTGACAGGAACGGCGGGGGTGCCAGCGTATCCCAGCAGCCCTCTGGGCGACTGGTGGTCTAACGGTATTTTTTGTTTCATCTTCCAGAAACCCTCTTCCCCTTCGTGGAGGGGTTTATCATTGTTCCCTATTAATATACACCCCCTCCCCCAGGCGACTGGGAGCCAACACGAGACCATGCGGCCCCCCCAACCATCCCTTGCAACAAAAAATACAAAACACAGTCTGTCTCCAACGTCGGAGCATGCGCAGCAGACCCGATGCGGCCTCTCCCCACCATCCCTGTCAAAAACAATACAGAGTACACTTGGCGGCGGCGGCGGCGGCTGCAGCGGCTGCGGCGGGGGCAGCGGCTGCGGCGGCTGCGGCAGTGGCGGCGGCGGTGGCGGCGGCGGCGGGGGCGGCGGCTGCGACGGCGGCGGCGGTGGCGGCGGCGCCGGCGGCAGCGGCGGCGGCAGCGGCTGCGGCTGCAGCGGCTGCGAAAGCAGCGGCTGCGGCGGCGGCGATTAGGCAGCGGGGGCGGCGGCGGGGGCGGCGGGCGGCGGCGGCAGCGGCGGCGGAGGCGGCGGCGGCGGCGGAGGATTCGCCGCCAGTAGCTGCCCATCCAAAGACGACTGCTGAATACGCTGCGGCTCGGGCCAGGCTCGGGTGCTACGTATGTGTCGGGAGGGCGGGTGGGAGTGAGCGAGACGGTTTGCGGGCGGGGGTGTCTTGACCCCTACCCCTACCCCCTCCCCTGGACTTTCTTGTGGGGGTTCGAGGGTCGTCGGAGCGTCCAAGATCGGCCCGTGGGAAGGCCAATCGACCTCCCTCATGAGGATTGTGGCCCCTGGGGGGGCTCGATCGGGAGACTCTATCCTTTGATCGGTAGCCTCGAAGATGGCCCCAAGAGGCGCTCCAGTGACCCCAAGTCAGCCCCAAGAGAGTCCCAAGAGGGTTCCTCCAAGAGGGTCCCAAGAGGGCCCTCAGAGGCACCCGAGAGGCCCCCTAGAGGCCCCCGATGGGTCTCAGCCAGCTCAAGATGACCTCCAAGATAGCTCAGATAGCCCAAGCTGGCCCAACATGGCTCCCAAGATGCTCCAAACGGCCCCAAGACCGCTCAAAGAACGCCCAAGAGCGCTCCAATAGAGCCCCAAGAAGCGGTTCGCGGGCTCTTGATGGGGGGGCTGAATTGGGGACCCCCATCCTGTAATCGATGGTTCCCGAGATGACCCCAAGAAGCCTTCCAGGGTTACCACGAGGGTTCCAAGAGGGCCCCCAAAACTCCCAGAGAGCACCAGCAGCAGCAGCAGCAGCAGCAGCTGCAGCCGCAAGAATACCTCTACATGGTTCCATGAATCCTCGTCCGCATGGGCCTCATCCTAGTATTCGTCCTCCTCGTCCTCGTCCTCATCCGCGTCCTCGTTCTCCTCGTCCTCATCCTCCTCCTCCTGCTCCTCCTCCACTTCCCCTCGCACCCACGCGGCCCCAGGGATGACCTGAAGAGACCTTCCAAGGCCACCCCCTTGCTCCCAGAGATCTCTCGGTTCACCCTGGTTGCTCGCTTTGTTTCCCTAGATGTGTCTCTTCGTCGCTTTTCCCGTCAGCTCTCATGGGCAAGGCTTCTACATGGGCTGGTGCGGATATTTGTTGGTCAACAGGCTCGCGAGGCGGGCCGAAAGCCGTCCGAACACTAGTCGGGCCGCAACTAGGTTGCAGGAACAAAAAAAACAAGCGAAGCGAGCGAGCGGGCAGCCACTCAGAAAAAGAGCCAGAACCGATACTCCCAAACCCGGTGGCGTTGGAAATCCCAGTGGCGACCAGCAAGTAAGCGCAGCCAAAATGGCGCGGCGGCGCGACCATAAACACGCAGAGATCAACCGCTCGGTGTGAGTCAAGTAAACAGCACCGTCAGAGACGAACTAGACCGACAGGTACACCCAGACGACATCCTTGAAGTAGGCGACGCAATTGCCACAACATCGTGTCGACGCAAGAGTGATGAGGGCAACCTCATCACAGACAAGACTGCAAACGGCAATAAAACATGTAACACTTGTCGAAAGCGAAGTCCATGCAGGAGAACGCCGGCCAACGAGCGCACAGAGCCACACTTGCCGAACCCAGGGTCCAGGCACCGTAAGGTAAGCAGTGTAGCGAGAGACCCACTGGAACCTTCTGGTCATCAGCAGGGGCCGACACCAGCCAGGAGCAGGCCAGGGGGCACCTGACCTAAGCGAATGTGACGCAGCACCATTCCCTGCGTGACCCCTTTGCACAAGTTCCAGACCACCTGAACGCCATCATGAAGCAGTATTGGGCAGCAAACCCCAGCCGCCAGGGAAGAACCCTGTGAAACAGGAGGGATCACACCACGGTGCAACAGCTGGCCGCTGTGGCATAAAGATGCAGGAGGAGAGGAGGGGAAGTGCACGCCAGGCACGGTAGGCACCCCGGTGCGGCAGCTAACCGCTGCAGCCTAAGGATGCAGGAGGGGAGGGAAGGAAGTGGACGTCAGGCACGCGGTGCGGGCGCAACAGCTAAACGCTGCGGCATAAGGATGCAGCAGGAGAGGAGGGGAAGTGCAGGCCGGGCACGGTAGGCACCCCAGTGCGGCAGCTAACCGCTGCAGCATCAAGACGCAGGAGGGGAGGGAAGGAAGTGCACGCCAGGCACACGGCGTGAGAGGGGGGGGGAACATATGCTCGAGCAGTTGATGCTGGCAGGGACAATCGCGGTGGGCTGCCAGTCCACATACCTGGTGAGATGTCAAAACCGCATATCAGCGAAACTGGGTGGTGCCCCACGCTCGGTGTTACTGTCGATATCGTTTCTCGGCCCATGGGCTCTCGATTGCTCGGCTCCTCTTCCCAGCCGTGCCCAGAGCACTCCCACCCTACTGCGCGCGGCCGGTGTCGGCGCCCACGAGATCCCGACCATCTCGCGGGGGGGCCTGGCACCCCCTGTTCGCGCCGACGTGATGCCCCAAGCGTCGCCCACGCACCTGCGCCCAGTCGATACCCAGGCCCAATGAGTCGCTCATGGCCCGAACATCGCAGCTGTGGCTGTGAACTGAGGTCAGGAAGGCGACGCAGGTTCGAAGATCGCGCCGACGCGGGTCGAAAGCGCGCGCGGTGCCAGGGGCAGCGCGTTGCACGGCAATGGCGTGCCAGACG